CTTATTGTTGTTAAAACTCAAATATATATATATATATGTATTCCCCCCTGCCCCCCCCAGATAGGCAAAGAAGAGATGTAAAGCCAAGCTTCAAATGATCAACCTACCTGGGAAATCATTCAAGTAAAATAACGATAGAGTCAGACTTGTAAATACAGAATTGCACTTACTGATATCTTTCCATGATTGATCAACTTTCCATGATGAACCTAAAGTTCCTATCTTTCTATAGCAAACCACACAATAAGCAGCCAGAGATATTCTGTAAAGGTACAAAAAACTGATTTAGCACATCAACAGGATTTTTTAAAATCGTTCCATCTATTAGTTATTACCTAATCTAATACAGAGGGAGCATAGTGTTCTTTCCAAAAATATATATTGCAAGTTTAGTTCATGGAAATGAATTTCATGATGGTAAAAACAAACTTCCAGTACTCTTTCAATGGAATGAAGAATTATATCACTTTCTAAACTTTCCCTTCTGAATTTAATGAGAGGTGCAACTTGTTTTACAATCCAAAATAATATATTTGCTTTATTTCTTTACAAGGTAACTATTCTGGGTGTCCATCTACACTGGGAGAGGTTCAGAGACACAATGGGCAATCCACTGAAATCTAGTAAATTTGCTGCAAATCTACAGCAGATTGTAACTATAGCAAATTATTGGATCTCAATGATTTTCAGTGCAGAGATTCAGAATAAGGAGAGTAACAGAGGCCAATCAAGCTGTTTTTGGGAAGGTGTTCCACAGATGTGATGTTGTTAAAAAAAATTTAATCCTGTTTCTTCCTGTTGTATTGCTGACTAATGCAGCCAATACTTTGCTGCTTATTCCATGGTTAACTTGACCAGTTTACTCAATTAGCTCAATTCTGGGAGTTTGCATGATACACTTCACATTAGTTAGTTTTGCTCAATATCCTAGAGTAAAATAAGGCCAGCTAGTCTGTAGTTCAGTAACCACAGAGAAGAATATGCAGATTTTTAGTAAAAATCTACATGTTTGAATAGACCTGGGTGTTTTTATAAGTGACTCAGTCAAAATACCTGAACTGTGCCATATATGAATATTACATGTAAGATAGACAAAGTATTTAAACCGACTGCATGTTCTAACAGGTTTTTTTTTCATACACAGTACAGCCATGGGACCATAAAAACACATGGCAATTGGTTAGCAAATGAAGCTTTGTTTGTGAAAATGCCATCTGACTTCATGGAAAACAACAAAACTGCCTGAACATTTCAGTTTTGCAGTGATTTGTAGCTCAAGCCTTCTAAACCTGATTAACTGCCTTGTAGATGTTTGTGAGAACAGATCCAAGAGTGTGGGAGAGGTGACTAATTTCATGCATTGGATAACATCATTCACTAGAAAAAAAATATTTTATTCAGGAAAGAAAACAACTGCATTATCTCCTACACACTTTGAAATAAAACATGCTCAAGATTGCAACAGCCCTGCCGAATGTGAGGCAGTTTACTCTTTGCAATTTTCAAACAGCATAGAAATGCCTCATATTAAGGGTGCGGCACAGTGATAGGGTATGCTCTAGGCAGACAGTAACAGTTAAACACAGTTTATGGATCGAGTCAAGTCTATCATTGCTGATTACAGCTATCATTATACAATGGACAAAAGAGTTAGACGAGCTCCTCCGCAATATTACTTCATATTCAGGGATTTCTCCGGCCAGGCAAGGCTGTTCTCCAGCCCCGACTTCACGACCACGCACCAGGTTGGCCCAAACCACCGCTCTCCTCCTGCCCCCTCCCCTACCTGCCCATCTCGGCTCCCAGTCCCACTGTCAACGACGAAGCCTTTCCATACCGCCCACGCTCTGACGCCAGCGTGACCCACGTAACCACCCCCCCAGCGCGCCGCCCTCAGGAGCCAACCAATTCAAAGCCAACAGAAGAAAGGCGCTTGCGCGGTTGTGGATCTTACTTCCGAGTCGGCGCTTCTTCCGTTCCCACTTCTTCCGGTCGGGGGACGGGAGTATTCCGGTGTGTTCGTCGCCAAGGCAACATTGCTCGACGGGTGAAGCAAAGCCCTGTGTTTTGTTTTGTTTTGTTTTGTTTTTCTACGTTGCTCTGAGGTGTTTTTTTTTCTTGGAAGGTCTTTCTCTTTCTTTCTCAATTTCTCCCTCGTTTACCACGCGTAATCCCTGGCGTCTCTGGCATTACGGGTTGCCTTTCTGCAGGGCAAGCTGCCGTCATGTGTTGCGAACCCTATGCAGCGTAAATAGTTACAGCTACTCTCTTTCAGCTTAGTTTTATCCAGAGTTGTTGCAGTGTAAACCCCATCAATCTGGCCGAGGATGGTGGGAACTGTATTTGCAACCTACCAGGAAGATACTGATAGTAGGGCTACCAGTTGCTTTGGTAAACCACCACCATGCGCCCTCCTCCCCTCGTTGGCCTGAATTAGGCTTCTCCAGTTAAGGATTAGGGTCACCAGATCTGGGGTGTAAAAATCTGTCTATGAGAGAGTGTTATCTATCTCTTTATTGCCATCTAGGGTCCTCAAAATTGTTGAGCCGGGATCAAAAATCTCCAAAACACATATAAAGTGACTTTGACTTTGAAGGTGGATCTGGTTCTAGACAGATACTATAATAAACAACTAATTATTGGTAGGTTGGTTATTGGTAGGGCTTTTCCTTATTTTTTTTTTTAAAATATTGGAATGTATTAAAATATCAAAATGCATTCAGAATTGTAATAACCTTGAATGTAATTGATTACTTATTAATAGTATGTTAATTAACTGTGCAGGCCTATGCTTGTTTACTTGAAAATCAGTAAACCTGGATTCAGCTAACCTTTTGCTCAAGTGAACTGTGTAGGATAGAAGCTTAACCATCATGAAAATTGTGTTAATTTTGTTCAGTTTAAGATTGTATCATTTTCTACAAATAGTTTTCTCCATTTCATGTTTTAGGAATCTGAGATTGTGAGGAAGATGGTGAATGTTTTGAAAGGAATACTTATAGAATGGTAAGCAACAGTATATTGGTAATGCAAGTCCTACTCCAGGCATGTATGAAGTCTAGTAGCATGAGCAAGAAATGTTTATGTTGTGACATGGTTACAAGAAACAGTGAGTTCTGGTTGTAATCAGCAAGTGAAATAGCAAAAATAACACTGTTATTTTAAAGGAACACAGTGTTACTGAAATATGACACTGTATTATTCATGTAACCTGTAAACTATGAATATTTGGTGTGCTTGTTTCATATTATAAAGATGGGGATTATTCTGCCAACAGCCTCATTTATCCTCTATTCTGATTGTTATAGTTAAAGTAGATTTAAACTGGCTTAAGTAGCTTGTCAATATTACCCTTACCTCCAATTTCTAATTATTATACTTGTTGTCAGTTGTTTAAATTCCAGATTGTAAAGAGTCCATTCAACCTGGACAGATTGGGCTGAAACAGCAGTTACTGTCTTCTGCTAGTATTTGCTCCCACTACCATCTGTCTCCTTCCTCCTGCAAGTGGAATTATAGAAACAAGGCGAAAAGGGGGAGATACTTTCCCCTTTTTGTATTCTGAGTAATGCAAGGGCAGTTTAAGACTAATATTAATTTGGAGGATCCTAGGCCTCCTGAGTATTTTACCAGATTAGAACCGCAAAGACATGGTTCTAAAATACCAAATCCAGGCTACAGAAATCCAGATGATCACTGGATGGTAGGATAAAATTAAGGGTTTTATACATCTCTTTGCTGCATCTAGTGGTCATCTGGATTTTTGTAGCCCTGTTTAGGGTTTATTAAGAACACACAGCAGCAAAGAAAAACATGGATGGGTGCTAGGTTTTTAAAAAGGGATTAACCTTCAGAAAGAGCAGTGTGTACATAGAAATAATGGGAAGGCCCAACTAAGATGGAAGTTAAATTCAGAGAAAAAATTGCTTTGAAGGAAACTAGAAACAGGCACTTGCCTTCAGCACAATTAAATAAAACCACCTCCTAATGCAATTCTATCTAGTTACTCACCATACCTAGAAACCTATGTGGGTTAGTTTTTTTCATGAGTACTGGAAAATTTCACTCCACAACTTGGATGGGGGGCTTACATTCCTTACTTTCTTACAGCCAGCTGCTATAAGACTCCAGCAAACTTCTCCTTAGTATTTAACTTCAAAGTAAGGGAAATTGTTTTGGCTCAAAGATTTGGCCAACCAGCCCTTTAATCTACTAGAGATAGAAAGAATTGTGTACAGGACAGTTGTGGATGTATTCTGAGAAACTCTAGCAGTTTGTGCTACTCTGTGGCTGTGACACAAAATGAAGATATTTCTTAGATTAGTGGCTGTGAAAAGAATTCGAAAGAGGTATTTCACAAAATGCATTAGGACAAACTGCGCTTTTCTTTGAAGTATATAGCAGTTATTTGTGTGTGCATGTACAAGTAGTGTTTCTTCTGGGACCATAAATGAAGTGGCTATGCATACACACACATGCAGAGACAAAAAGGGACAGCTTTCAAAACAACCATGCGAGCCTTGTTAAGGGTGCAGCTGCCTTCTTTGATGAAAGAAAGAAGAAACACTTTGAAAGATTTGTTCACACTAATATACTTTTCAAAGCACCTGTTTCAAATTCTTTGCAGAGTCCTAATGTTTAGTTATCATTTGTCCAAATGTTTAATATGGAAGAATTGTATCCTTCCTCAGAATCTCTTCCAGATTGGGAAATGTTATCAGAAAAAGGTATCTATTCTGAATGGATCCTATGTTGAAAAGTCAGTCTATTTGAGCATCTGTTTCTAAATTTAACTTCTTTTTTGATTAGGTAAGATCTGTTTTTATGTTGGTGACTGTCACAGCACAATCCTGTGGATTGAATAAATAAGATAAATCAGATAATCTTTTCTAATCTGTTGTTTTGGTCTAGTTTCAGAAATGAAGGTGACAAAGTCGCTATAGTGAATGAATTGTGCTATGAAAGGGACAATTGGAACATAGCCCTTTGGTTCTTCTAGCGTACATAGTGCCATTTGATAATCATGTGTGTCTTGCAAGGATTGGGATTCTAGTATTAAACAAACCCCAGCTGTTCCTGAAGGGTAGAATCCTGATGATATTATTTGTTGGCATTTCTCCCTGGTTTATGGCCATTGGGATCTGCAAGATTGTTTTGTGCTTTATAATACAGGTAGTCCTCAATTAACGACCACTCAGTTACAGTGGTGCTGAATGAGTGGTACTTACAACTGGTCCTCAAAGGGCCATCCCAGCACCCCCGTGGTCATGTGATTGTGATCTGGGTGCTTGGCAACCAGCTCGCACTTATGACAGTTGCAGCATCCCACAGTCATGTGATCATCATTTGTGGCCTTCCTTGCCAGCTTCCCACAAGCAAAGTCAATGGGAAAGCCAGCCTGGAAGGTCGCAAATTGCTCTGGAAATGTCTCCCACACCCTGCAGCAGCCACCCCAAGCCCCACCGCACTCCCTCCCTCACCTGGCAGCAGCCACTTGCCTGCCTGCTGGTTTGCGTGCAAGCCACTTGGGACTTACAACTTCCTGTTGGCTTCCCCACTGACTTTGCTTGTAGAAAGCTGGCAGGAAGTTGCAAGGAGGTCCTTGCTTAATGACTCGCAAACCTCACTTAACAACAGCAATGGGGACTGCTGGGATTGCCATTGCAAGTGATGTGGTCACATGATGTCGCATTTTACAACCGCATCACTTAGCAACAGAAATTCCAGTCCCAATTACCATCGTTAATTGAGGACTACCTGTATTTAAGTTTTACATGAAACTGTTGGAAGTAGTCATTCAGAGACTGGGCTATAAAGTCATCATTATGCATATGATATTTGTATATATGATCTTAAGCACATAGTGAAAACCACAGCTACTGTTTATCTGGATGAAACATCTGGTTTGAACATAATCCCAACAATTTGCACTTAATTCAAATAGTCTGGACATACTCATATTATTTGATTGTGGTTTAATGGTTCAGCCTGTCTTGGACAAGGTTGCACTCCTTAAAACATGACTTTTGAAGTTTCCAGTGCTCCTTGGCTTGAATCCTCCTGCTGGAATATATTAATGAGAAGGTGCACTATTTTCTGATCTTCGCTTTTCTGACCTTGTACTTAAGATTTTACTTGATGACAGGACCTTGTTACAATTATTCATGGCCTAAATACATCCTAGGTAGAATGTTAGGCTATATGCAGAGCTACCCTTGAAAAGTATTCAGAAATTGCAGTGACTGCAAAATGTATGGACTAAAGTAAGGTAAGCAGAACATATTGTACCTATTTTACTAAATTCACATCAGTTGTCAGTCTCTTACTGTGACTAATTTAATTTAACCTTCACTATACCTATGTAAGATAGTATTGTTAAGATTCCCAGGGACCAAAACTGTTCCTGGGAATCTTAACAATACTATCTTGCATAGGTTATCTCAGTGTATTTTGTCATATGAACATTTGCTGTGAATTTTTCATCTGCCTAAGGCATAGCAGATGTCTTTTGAAATATGATAGCTATCTATGAAATGTCTTCCCAGTTGAATCTTGCCAATATCCATATTATATAGCTTTGGATGTTTGATCAGGGTTGGCTATTTGGGAGAACATTGAAAATACTTTATCTTCTTAACATACTAGGGTAGTTTTCATTTTTCTATTTCATCATATAGTTTCTATGTTTTATGAATTTCTGTTTGGTTACTTTATAAAGTTTATGACATTTAATGTATTTCATAATGTGGTTTTATTATATATATTGATATTAGCATTGTAATTATTGTAGCTCAAATATTCCAGAAGTATATAAACTTAATTCATTGAAGTGTTATGTGAGATTGCCATTATTTTATCCTTGTCCCCACAGTGACCCAGCCATGAAGCAATTCCTGCTGTACCTGGATGAATCAAATGCCCTGGGAAAGAAGTTCATCATACAAGACTTAGATGAAACACATGTCTTTGTGTTGGCTGAAATGGTTAACTGCTTGCAAGAGAGAGTTGGAGAGTTAATGGACCAGAACTCTTTTCCTATTACACAGAAATAAAAAGTGGGGCTGGATCTGGATACACATGGAACTGAAAGCCTGTAAATTTTTCTGAAAATTAATTTAAGGCAGATTGAATAATAGCCACTATAATAAGTGAGCTATGCGCACGCACACACATATCAAGAATTCTCTTTTATCGTTTTCAGTTTCATCCTGACTTAAAAATATAATTGTGATAATAGCTAATGAAGTGTTTGCCAGTGCAAATGATTTTAGGATTTGATAGTTTGAGATTCTTAGGATCTTCTGTGCAGAGGTGGGTGGAATGGTGATATTGATGTTCAGTTACTCTCTGTAATTCTCCTTTATAGAGAAAGCCACCTTAAAACATACAGGATATATGTTTTTAATAGAATGTGAAGGAGTTGTTTTTTACATTTCCAAGGGAGACTATAAATTTTGTAATTTGATTGCTTTTGAAAAGCATACGTTAATGTGCATGCTACATGGTGCTGAATAACTTTAAATTGTTTTATAACCTAGTCTTTTTTTATTCAGGTTAGTATATTTCACTAGGTTCAGTGAGATTTACTCCTGAATTAATGTGTATAGGAGTCAGTTCAATTCAGTTTATTCAATGTAGGCATCTCCCCATTCCAGATTGACTCTTGGCTGCTCACAGTAAAACAAGACAAAGTAATACAATAAAGAGAACAAGATGGCAAATCAACAACCCCTACACATACAAACATAGCCAACAGGCCCCCACCACACCACCTCAGCCCAAGGCCTGGAGAACAGAAAGATTTTAAAGGCTTGTTGGAATGTCAACAGTGTGGGAGCCATGCCTTTGGGGGAAGCTGATTCCAGGATGGCAGCTAGTGTATCATTTTCAACTGAGCTTTATTTTTAAGTTTCCAGCTATTTCCTGTTCAACATTGTATATCATTACTATAAACCGTCTTGAATAAAAATTACTAATTTTAAAACATTCATCAATGTATGACTATTCAGACGTGCAGTACCATCATATGTATGTTTATTCTAAGGTCCTACTGTGTTCACTATGTCAATCTCATTTCACTATTCATGAAATAATACTTCTAAGTAAATTTCCACATGTTTGGATTGGAGATACATAAATGGCTATTGGTTTGGAACCAGGCTGAAAGTCGCCAGAACAATCTACAGAAATTGCTGTCCTCCCCCTAGCAAGAACATACATTCATAGAAAACTAGCTTCACCTCTATCTTTGTAAATGGTTAGGAACCACAAGGGTATTTTGTGTAGCCTTTTAAAAGTTTAAGTAGTTTTCCAAAAGCATTTATGTCAACATATGTACTGGTTGAAATTTTTAATATTTTACTACATACTCTGTTCATGCAGGTGTTAATTTACTAATACATTAAGCATGTTGTTTTCTCTTTCAATCCCAAAGGTGAAATAGAAAATATATATTTGTGACATGCAGAAAAGTGTTAAATAATCAAAATTGTACTTGAAGATACATTAATTCTAGACAGATGTAAAAATAGACTTCTAATATTTAAAAGTGTCCATGGCCCATAATAATTGAATAACATTTGCAGCAAAGATAAAAAAGATACTTGTCAAAGAGCTATACTGTAACTTTGCATAGTTTTTTGTTAATAAATGTCAGGATGTTCAAAAGGTGTATACTCATGTTATAAAATTTATCTTTAACCCTTTGTTTCCCTATCTCACCTTCTTCTCTATTAGTTTTTGGCACATCTGAATGGAGTGTGGTGTAGTGGTTAAAATGCTGGACTAGATATGGGATACCCAGGTTAAAAACCCCCCTCAGCCATGCAAGTTGGTTGGGTAGCTCCAATAAGGGAAACATTCACAACCTGCAGCATAAGAGTCACTTGCAACCTGTCCCCAGCAGAACCTCTTCAGAAGTTGCAACCAAATTGTGATAATGTGATGAAAGAACATTATTAGAGGGGGAATATTAATCTTAACTATTAGTTAATGTTAATTAAATCCAATGTAGTTTCATCCTGGTCCTCCTCACTTTTTGGACTGTGTTCCAGGCTCGCCACTCATGGCCAACTATGATCCAGGTTCGTCCAAAATTGTGTACCCATTACAATTGTGTTTCTGAGTTACAAAACTAGTCTTAACACACAGTGATAAGAAAACATCAAACTTCAAATTAAGCTTAGTGTGTGTTGTGTTGTTAATGTGTTTCTCATCATTGGTCCTAACCTGCTCAAAGTATCTCTCTGATAATTCTACATCAAATGAGAACAGCCATGACATACAAATCAGGATTTGGCGTTTAGCTCTGAAATCTCTTGCTGTCAAGGCTCCCAAAGTTAGGTGATAAGTCTGAACTTATCACCAGTATAACACCAGTTTATAAATAGTTCTCTCTAGTGTATGTTAATACTAAAAAGTAACATAAACCATTGCTAACCTATTAATGTAATCCTAAATAAATATTCTGAAATACAGTTTATGATAGATAATTGTACTCCTTTGTCTTTTCTCAGCAGGTGCTTGATTTGTTATCTTTAAATTACTTTATGTTAGCTTGGCCAGAAACACTGAAAAATCACAATATGAAAATTTTGTTGAATGTATTCAACACTAATGGTGACCTGGTTCACATATATTATTTACTCATAAGCCATGCTTTAGAAATGAAGGTGACTGAGTTCAGACATAGCAGTTAAGCCATAATGTAGTTTGTCTGATCTTGCTTTCGTGTGATATGTAAACCCAACCATCAACATTCATGGCCTGTTGAACCATATTTATTTGATTAAAACAAGCTATGGGTTAATGGAATGTGTGACTATAAAGAGATTAAAAGGTTGTCTCTAGTTCAAGACTAACTGCTACCTTTTACCAGTAGCCTATATGTTGTTGCACAAAGAGCTCCTGGCTGAGGTCATCTGGCTTCTTTAGGGAGGATAACATTATCTTATGATGATCAGTAGCACAGCACTTGGGACGTATCTTAAGTGGGACTCCAAAGTTAAGTCTATACATACAAACATATAGAATAGCTAAATT